CTGCCAATTTCTACAAAAGTGCCGAAGCATAATAATATGGGTTTACAAAATTATATAAAAAAAATTGTATTCACAGACACTAGTCATTTTAACGTAATATACTACTTCTCATGCATGAGTGGGTTCTAGTTCTAGTTCCTGGCAAGTACTAATGTGATTTTTCCCGAATTACATGTACTTTCTAAATTTTTAGACACCACTGACATACGGTAAAGGAAATCATCGTAAGGAAACCTGAAGTTGAAATTTCTAATTATAAGTTTGAAAACGCCAATCCACCACGAGCAAGCGTGGTGAAAAATGCTCAAACCTACTCTGTATGAGAAGAGGCTCATTAGCTCAGCAGTGGGCACTTATATGCTGATGATGTACATGGTGTACAGCGTTGTATTTCGCCGTGTGAGTGAGGTTACCGAAGGCCCAATCCTTCCCCTCCCCAATCCCTCCTCAATCCCTAAATCTCCAAATCCCTAATCCCAAAAAGGTCGGAAACGCACTCGTAACTCCATCGTTGCGCGTGTCCATGGGCGGCGCTGATTGCTTACCATCAGGTAATCCGACTGCTCGTTTGCCGACCTATTAAATAAAAAAAAAAGGTGTAATGAGGAGTATAAATCCTGACGATTCGTAACAAATGCCCGTTTCACAAAGTATTTATATAAACCAGCCACACTGATATGTACATATATACATTTCTATATGTATACTTAGGTAAACCACAACACAAATACATAGTACAAACTAGTGAATTCATGCGAAAACAACAGAAACGTCTCTACTTAACTGATTAAACATCAACATTGAAGTGTTTCCGAATTAATTGTCGTGTTCTTTGCAAGGCTGTCGGGTATTAGCAATTCAAATATGGCGTCAGACTCGTCTTGTCCAAACTTGTCGTGGCACGGATTTTGTGATGCGTTCGTGTTGATTGCTTGTTAGTACGTATTGTTAGGTTAGGAAGTAGGTTCTCACTTCGATTTGTTGTATCTAGGCGTAGATTGAAAGAGTATTTGAGAAACAGTTGCATCTAAAATGCTTTATGAAATAAATTTAGATGTTGTATAAGATTACATGCAAAAATTACTCTAAGATATACTTATATTCAAAGTGGTAAACTTTTAGCATGTTTCGATTATAATGTTCGTCTAATTAAATTGTAATCAAAGAATGACCTATTGCTTAAATTAAATATTTTGCTAAAGCTTTTGAAAACTGAGCAATTAAAAAGTGACAGTTATATTATACAACCAGTTTATTGATTTCAGTCACCAAAAGCGGGTTTGCGCACGGCAAGCAAAAGCAGCTCGTGCCTCGAGCAGAACCAAGATTGAGCGTGCAGCGCACCACGTTCCGCGCGAGCCTTAAAGAGCCTTCAAATCAACATAGTTGGATTCCAACCTATAAAGGCCAAAGTCCAGCCGCTGTTGCAGGTAGCAAGCGCATTTATGTACCAACAACCTAGCTCTGATCAAGAAAAGAAACAGGGTGATTTAGGTCAGTAAAAGTCTGCAACTCCCTTTCTTTCGCGAGAAGTAATTTGATAATTTTGCACCTCAAAAAAGCTCCTAACAAAATCAAGAGTCGCAAAAACACATTCATCTTTGAATAAGTAAGTAAATCAATATTTATCTTCACCAACCAACTGCGGACAAGCCTTGGAAGGCTCTAAGTTATTTGGGTACATATCAAGTTATTTTCAGGAACGGAACATTGGTTTCATATTGTGTCCGCCTACGCGGTACTAAGTAATCGTTTTATGACATCCCTTAGTAGATAGGAAGGGATTCCAGCCTTTTGTAGTGTAATAATAAGATATTTTGGTCTCCTTTTAATTCGTCGATTTTAATATCTTATATAGTAGTTATATCATTTTTGAATAGCAGCTACAGCTTTCTAAGGATTAGGTGTAGTAATTTTAGCCAATGATATATCATGGTCGTGGTGGCCCGGAGGTTAAGCAGCCCGCTTCTCATGTATGAGGGTGTGGGTTCGAAACCTGGCAAGTACCAATGTAAACATCGTGAGGAAACCTGGACTTATAATTTATAATTATAAATTTGAAATCGCCAGCCCGCATTAAGCAAGCGTGGTGTTTAATGCTCAAACCTTCTCCGTGTGAGAAGAGGCCTTTGCTCAGCAGTGGGCACTTATGGGCTGATGATGATGATGATATATTATCATAAAGAGACTGACCTCTAAGTTTGTTTCGGCATTTCTTCTTAAAGTATTATTTTATTTTTAACCGCCAGGCTGGTACAAATTGAATTTAGTGCTTCTAATAAAAATCTGATTAATTCTGATTATAATAATTGGAGAAAAAAGGCTTCTTACTAAGCATGGTTTGATAACAAACTTATCTAATAATATATTAAATAGACAATTCCGTTTTTGTTTTCAATATTATAACACAGAAATAATATTCAAAATGCTGAAAATACAGATACTAATACGATACAAATTGTAAATATTTTAAATAAAAAAAGGTAATAGTTCAAATCTTAATTTCAGACTATTAAAAATAATGAGAAATATGAAAAAAAAAACTAGAGTTGATTGAGTTACTAAATCCAATAAAGTAAGATTGACATAATTTAAAGAAACCTCTAGAGATTGAAGAGACATCTGTCAAAGGACTGAAAGAATGGCTAAGTAGAAGCTTTATTTTACCCTTTTTGGGTTTGAGGCAATTCAAGGTTAACACTCCATTTTATTATTGGTTACCCTTTGGCTTCAGCAACATAAGCTGTGTATTCAAAGAAATACAAAAGGTCAAAGTCTTGCTCAGTCAAGTTAGATTTTTCGGGGCCAAATTAGTTTACGTAACCATCCACCCAATGGCTTGAAAAACTAGTCGTTTGATTGAAAGACTAAATTTCTTATTCAGGCTGTAAGTTGAAGAGTGAAGAGATCGTTATGACAACCGATTGCTACCAGAATAGTTAGGTAAGAATTGTGAACTGCACAGAAATCGAATCGTCATCAGAAATAAACACCTTTCAGAATGGTATAGTTTAAATAGGCTGGGTTGTTGAAGTTCAGCCAGTTGCCAGCGACAGATATGTAACGAAAAAACGGATGAGTCAACTTTCTTTAAGGATTGGTTAAGAACACCGAAGAAGTACAAAAGAAGACGCTTACGAAAGAGTGCTTACGAAAATAGCAAATACTATGTTTATTTATTTTTAAAACGGAAATTTTGTACAATAAACCTCTTTTATATCTCAACCCTTTCAGGAAGATCTAGGCAAAATGGCTTTCTAGAAATCCTTGGTTTACCTGCACTCCCACTTAGCCTGTTTATTATTCAAACTTGTGAATGTAAATTTAACTTTAAAATTTAGTTTTATACTGCATCCGCTGTAACATTAGTACGCTACAGCTTTTGTAGGCATTGCTACGAAGAATGTACTACGGCGTAGCCCAAGCTACGAGTTCTACGAAAAGTGGTTTATTTAATTTAATTTCATTACAGTTATTTAAATTTATATTTTATAGGTTGAAAACTGGAGTGTTACCTTACAGAAACCTTACACGAGTAGTTTATCCTATAATTTTCACAAACTTACCGTGTACTATATTTGCCTAAAATCTCTAAGTTTAGTTTTCGTTGCTACGGCTTACTCTAACTTAGTAATTGGATACTTGACTGTACCCTTCACCGGTCTTGTAAGTCGAATACAGTTTGATATGTTTATATGTTACCTATTTCAATCTGCTATCTCAGATATCTTAAGTTCTGCGGCAAAAGCATTAGTATAAATTTTACAGGCGAAGGAATAGGAAATTTCTATTAGATATCGAACTAAATAAGAATATGTATTATCACTACAGACTATAAAACTAACTTCGTTCAAATATGTATGTTTTTTATCTTTAAAATTACATGAAAAAATTCGATTGCTTTTGTTAAATAGATACAAATTTTCAACGTAAATGATCACTGTCAATGGGTCAATTATAAAACTTTTTTAAGGATTTGCTCACACAACATCTCCTGTAAAGTGAAAAAATCTATTCATTCAAAATTTTCATTTCTCAAACAAACATTCAATTACTTTATTTGAACGCGGTAGTCAGACAGATGCTCAGTGTTTCTATATCATTTCAGTTGAGGTGCAGCGGCTGTTACGATGCGAATAATGTAGCTATACGGACACTATAAGAGTACGTCTCAAAATAAGAGTGGTACAAGACGATACTATATTCCATGCAAAAATATTTCGAATTATAAAATGATATCCTTAATCATGTTTTAAAAAAAGAATTTGTCACGTGTTTCGCCTTGTAACTGAGATTACCTGAAGCCTTATCCTCCCTGCCCCATTCTCTATTCTCAAATTTTCTATCGTTAAATCAGTGATTCAAAAAAAGCCAGCAATGCATTTGCAACTCCTTTCGTATTACGAGTGTCCATGAGCGGCGCCAATTGCTTGCTATCAGGTAATCAGACAGTTTGGTTTTGATGAATAGGATATTTTTTTATTTAAAAAAACATTGCTCCACTCTAAGATTTTCTCCTCTGTCGTGGGTGCTTTTACAAACATACAATTTCACATACACATTACATCCAGACCTGGAATAACAATTCGTGGATAACACAAAGAGTTATTCCGCGCGGGAATCGAAACCTCGACACGTTGCGTTGCGCGTCAGCCGGTTGCCCAGCCATCGCGCCAACCATCAAATTACTAAGTTTGTTTGCTGACCTATGAAATAAAAAAAAAAGAAATCCTTAAATATTTCCAAAAAACAAGATAATAAAAATAAATTTGTCATCGATATATTTATTTGTTTTGTTAGATTAAGTTATTTTAAGATTTCAAGGTCACATTGTTGTGATATCGAACTTACACACGTCATAGAGATTTATCTCGTGAGCTGTTAGTAAGAAGTGAAACTGTCATGTGCATGACTTCATATTTATATTTATACTCTATCAAAGTAAAAAATTAGCATGGTATTTGATTTTCGTAATTCTCGACTACACCATAAAACTTTTTATGGATTTATGAATAAATTTGAGATTAATGTGCTTTGTATGTTTCCAAAATAAGAATTTTGTTGCTAATAAAGAAGCATGCTTACAAAAAACTATATTAATTTGTTACGGAGAGAAAAAAATTCGTACACAAATAAAAATATTCATTTATAATAATTCTAGTTTACCACACACGGCATATAGAAACACGATTTAATACATTTTTTTCTTCTTCAAAACTTAAACTATTTATTGGTGGTAATTTTTATAAATTATACTTGATTACACTTAATATTACTTGAATTAATAACGTTTTGATTTATTTATTTATTTTATTTTATTTTATGTGATAGGGCGGCAAATGAGCATACGGATTACCTGATGGTAAGCAATCAGCGTCGCCCATGGACACCCGCAACAAAGAAGGAGTTACGAGTGCGTTGCCGACCTTTTAGGGATTGGGATTTTGGGGATTTAGGGATTGGGAAGGGATTGGGCCTCCGATAACCTCACTCAAACGGCATAATGGAAAATCAATCAGATGCGATCCGGCCCTTCTTTGTGTAATTTGTAAGCATGTCAAAAAATATTAATAATCACTACAGACAAGGCCCATTAAGGCAACGGGTTAACCGTATTATTGTGCTGTGGCCTGGCTGGTGGCAGGGTTGAAGGAGAAACTGGGTGATTTTTATTCAGTAAAAATCTGACACGCGCTAAAACAGAAGTATTCATAGGATGAGTTTTCCTCCTAAGAAAAAAGTAAAAGAAAAACAAAATTAATGTAATAATGCACCGTCTATGCAAGTCATAAGCCTCTAAACATGTGTGCACTATTCAGTAGGGGTAAGCGTTCTTTGAATACGTCGAGTTTACTTGTTCTAGCTACTTAGACTTCACGGTGTGACGCTATTTCTTTGTCGCGATCGTGTTTTAATGTTGGTTTCTGAGTTGCCAGTTCTATGAGTGCTTTTTAACAGTCAACAACTAGGTTTTCGCATTGTTTTTTGGTTTTTTAGCGAACTTTTGGGGAAGGTCAGCTGCAATTTCTGATTGAATTGGGTTGTAACGTAATCGCTAACTTCATGAGTGCTGTCCTAGTCTTAAAAAACCCTTCGTATTTAGTTGTTTCCATAGTGAAAGGTTCAGATAAATATCATTTTTATTATAAGGATATTTCATTTCGGAGATACTGTTGACAAAACCCTTTTCTTGCATCTTGATACTTTTTATAAGATGCTTATTTTAATTTCTTTTGATGGAAATTAATAATAGTTGAGTTGTGAATTATATGTTGTCACATACCACAAGTCGTGGTATCCTAAGGTTTGCGATCTGGCAAGTAGTTACATGATTTGTTCTGAGTTATAATTACGTATTTACTTTGTAAGATAATTTTGGCATTACAGAAATACGGTAAAACCTTTGTTGTGAATCTAGGGATTTTTACCTCATCTCAAACCTCCCTGGTGGTAATCATCAGCATCTGTAAAAAAACCTGAGTCCTCTTAATTGATCTACTCCGGAATCTCTATGGTGCGACGCCCGGTACAGAACATTCCTGTGCACACAATAATTATCTTTTTTGAGCGTGAACTTCTTTGTACCTGTACTTAAGTTACTGTTAAGTGTGGGAGAGCCAATCTTCGGCACGAATAGGTCGGCTCGACCGGACGGCCTCACAGAATACCGTCGTGAAATAACCACAGCGTAGTGTTTCGCTGTGTGAGTGAGGTTACCGGAGGCCCAATCACGCTACTTCCCCTATTTTTTCCCGATCCTTATATCCGCAACCCCTATCCCCAAAAGGCCGACAACGCACTTCCTTTGGTGTTGCGGGTGTCCATGGGTGGCGCCGATTGCTTACCATCAGGTTATACGTCAGCTCGTTAGCCGACTTATACCATAAAACAAAACTTATAATTTCAAGTTTCAAGTTTCCAATAGGCACGGGATACATCCACCACCACCACCACCTTTTCTCATCATTAGGCATTTATAGGCTGATGATGATAATGACGATTGTACATGTTACACTACAGCAATAGTTTCATTGACCTTTATTAGTACATATACCACAATAATAATGTCCATTAACAGTGCTCTGTCGATTCACTATTATTTCCATGAATTATTAATGTGGTATTACAAGTCTGCTAATTACAAACAAAATGTTTGCAATAGAATAAATAGGTAAATTTAGTTATGAAAATGAATTAAACACATCAAGTTTTTCAAAGGTCGACTGGTAGAGAATGCTCAATTGATTAAGTCCGCCTAATGTACATACTAAACTGTGCATGAAGTATTAAAAAAAAGTTTTTGTAGCAAAAGGAAAAACAAAACAATAACGATGTGTAGTACCACTACCACGTCTTCATAGAAAAGCGGAGTGAAACAACTGTTTGGGGAGGGGGATAGGAAAATCATCAAATTATTTTCCGACTGAGCGTCGGGGCAAAAGAAAGTGTCAGGCTCTTATAAGCTAAAAACCTTATTAGTAAGTACCTAGTATATAAAAACAAAGTATTTTACTTAAAGATATAACTAACAAAGAAACAAATTGTTGATTGATTAAAATATAAATTCGCAATCTCTTGCATAGTTTTAAGCGCCCAAGCTTCGGTACGAATGGGTCGGCTCGACCGGTGTGACACCACAGCCTCACAGAAACCCGGCGTGAAATAACCACAGAGTTATGTTTCGCCATGTGAGTGAGGTTACTGGAGGGCCAATAACTCCCCCACCCCATATCCCTTCCCAATCCTAAATATCTGAAACCCTTTTCGCTAAAAGGCCGACACCACTCGTAACTCCTTTGGTGTTGCGAATGTCTATGGGTGGCGTTGATTGCTTACCATCAGGTAATCCGTCTGCTCGTTTGTCGACCTATACCATAAAAAATAGCCTACCAAGATTGTGAAGTTATCAAACCAGATGTTAAAAATTTTAACTACAACTTTGACTAATAGAGAACTAGGCACTATACGAAATTGTTACGTCTAGAATACCAACTTCAAAAACCAACACACAAATAGCTATTATAACTTTCGTGAGACATTCTAAATTATATATTATGTTTTCAGCTTACTCACGTAATAATTTGACGAGATACTCGACTAATTTCAAGCCATGCTAGAGGCCCATATTCATGAGCAGCATTCCGCGACACGCGACTCGGCGACTGTCGCGTTGCTACTGGCTACTCGAGTGTGCGCGCCCGACGCGCCCTCTGCCGCGATTTACGCGCACTTTCTTCTATCAGTGGTGTCGGCAGCGACGGCGCGCGCGACACTGTTGGCACGCAAGGTTCGCCCGCCTGCAGCTGCGTTGGTGTTGGGTTCGAATCCCGGGTCGACGCAAAAACAGTGTTACATACCGCGCTAACTGTGTCACACTCCAGACCCGCAACAGTGCAGTCTGACGCAGATTTCAGACTCGGCTTCCAGGCAGGTGGTAATGCCTAGTCGAGTATCTCGTCAAATTATTACGTGAGTAAGCCGAAAACATAATAAATAACACTATTATTATACTAACAGCTATTTATTTTTCTTCAAAAAACTACAACAAACTTTATAGCCGTGTAATAAGTTACAATATTCAAAACATCTTCAATAAAATTGCCTCAAAATGTAATGCCCTCGTCAAAACAAATAAAAATGTCTATTTATTACATCAGGCTGGAGAACTTTTGACAAATTCATATTCTTCCATCACGTCACTTGGATTACTGCTCATTTCTTTACTTGGAACTTTGTATCGTCGTCGTTTAAAGAAGAAATAAAATATTATTAAAGTTCGTAGATTTTTGTTTAAATAACAAAAGTACATATTTTAAAGTACTATCAAACATCATACATTTGGAAGAGGAGAATAATTGCATTAGGTAAAAGTTAATTCAAGTTAATTGAGTTTAAATTCTTGAGTTTCTTACTTATTTATGAAATATTGAATACTTTATATAGCTTAAAAAGCGCAATTTTACTTAATATTAAAAATCTCACAAAGATAAAAGCTTCACTAAGCCTCACTTCCTCTAGGTATACGTAGGTGCCATGTCACATATTACCAGCCTGTAAGTGCCCACTGCTGAGCAAAGGATACTTCTTACACGGAGAAAGTATGAGCATTAATCACCATGGTTGCTCAAGGCGGATTGGCGATTTCAAACTTACAATTACAAGTAATAAGTAAAAGTTTCCTGACGATGTTTTTCTTCACCGTATGTCAGTGGTATCTCAAAAATCATAGAAAGTACGTGTAATTTTGGAAAAGTCACATATTGGTACTCGGGACGCAGGCGCCTTAACCCCCGGGAACCTCCTACATAGGTGTCGGCTACAATTATTTTTCCTACAAACTGACGTTTGACGGAAGCCCTATTAAAACTTGTTGGCAACTTGAGTCCATTCGTAATAACTCAGACGTAGGGAAGTGTGTCAAAGTTAATGACGAAATTCAGACTTGCACGCCAGGGAAAAAGTTATATCGCAATAATATTATTTGATAGGTTTTACGAAGTTTAAATTGGGAGAGGTATTTTGTTGCGGTGACCGGTTTTGGAATGTGTTTGTATTGGCATAATGTGGGGTTAGTTATTACGTATTCAAAATGTTATTGTAATTATATAGTAATAGGGTTGCTTTTGCAACTATTATGTCAATTATGTGAAAGTTTATTAGTTTAAGTTACATATTTCTTATCATTATATTGGTTCATTCCCTTTCTAAGGCTCACGAGGGGCCAAAGTCGACTTGTAGAGGCCTGTTAAACAATTTTAAAAGAAATTCTAGTATAAACAATATATAAAATGAAATAAAAATGCCTCCAAATTAAAAAAAAAAACATTGTTATTAAAGTTGTCTTGAATCTTGAAGTCTTGAAAGCAGTACTTCGGAGTGCGTATATTAAGAAATGCTTTAACGTCCTTGCTATGATTTTATACGTAAATAAACGAAGGTAACATAAAACAGATACAGGCATCTCATACTTAGAAGGTTTGAGCATCACGACGATCACCCAAGGCGGTTTGGCGATTTCAAACGTATAATAATTAATTATAAGTCCAAGCTTACTCAAGATGTTTTCTTTCACCTTAAGTAGCTCAGTGATGTGTAAATAAACCCAGACAGAACGAATAACTTGGAAAAAGTTACAATGGTAGCCATGTTTTGAACCAGCCTCCTCATGCTTGAAGCGGACGTCTTAACCGCTTTGCCACCACAACACAACATAAAAGACGTTAAGTCCGCCATTGTACGTTATGCAAGAAGAATATAATAAATAAATAAAGAAAACATCGCAATCAAATCAAGTGATGATGCATCAATTTTTTATCGGACATGAACGTAATCTAATGCTTCATTACTCGTTCGCTCTTAGCCATTCATTCACTAATTGAAAGAACCGAAAAAATCTGAAATAAAAATCCAACGTTACACACATTTTCTGCTGGAAGTCTTTCATTAAAATACCGTCTTTAGAACCCAGTAACCGAATTCCTAGCCTTTTATTTTTCGCCACATAATTTTCGGCACCAATAAATTTTATTTTATTTTCGCAAAATCAGCAATCACTAATCAAGTATTCGCTCAATCATAATCCGGGGCCTTCAATACGCTTTTTTTAATATTCATGAAATTTTTCATAATCTTCTTGTACAAAAACTCGGTTTGAAGGTAAACCTTTTGGTGTCTTGGGGTTTTCGTGGATTAGAGTTGTTTTGGATAGGATTTTTGCGATTAACTTTTAAATAATATGTGTCTGTTACATATTTGTAAGGAATTTATTTAACATTTTAATTGGGAAAATATTAAAAATAAATATAATAAAAATAATAAGCGTAAAAAATCAGGGCTCAGAAAAATATTTATTATTAATATCTGCGTCATTGCATTGGTTAAAAATATTATAACTGAGTGCTTACGAAACTAAATCCACAATAAACAAAAAAATTCAATCCACTTGAATAGAAATAAAAAACTCGAGAATCCATATCCAATTTTGAAAATCCAATACAAAAATAAAAGCGGAGACCAAGGTATAGCGTATTTTAAACCGAAACGCAATGATTTACGAAGCAATCTTTACGAATGGGCTATTCGTTAAAAATAAGATTTTTTTTTTCGTTGAAAAATAAATTATTTGTTTGTTTGCTTAGGTTGGATGATGCTATTTTATTGATTTAGGACCAGTCCAGTGTGTTTCGATCCAATTCGTTCATGTTTCGCAGCATTTGCTATGCGAATGACAATTTCTTTAACAAGTGAAACTTAAAGAAAAACTTATGTAAAACGTAGTTCATACAAATTGTTTTCTATAATTATTCTAAGTTATCTGGCAGATACTGGCTATTTACATTAATAAAATTAATTGTAAATAAAATAATATTCAAGAAAAATCTTTTAAATAGATCGTCATTGAGTCACACTCACATACATTTTTATATTGGGTACAATCATCATGATTTCTCGCGCTCTAGGTAGGGACAGAGAGACTATCTGACTCTTACTAACTAAAAGCCACCCTGTTCTTTCTCCTGCCCAGGGCCGCAGTAAATTAATACGACTGGAACTGCAACCCCTGATCTAACATACAAATGTGTAAGTATAGTTTAAGTGTGGGAGAGCCAAGCTTCGGCACGAATGGGTCGGCTCGACCGGAGTTATACCACGGCCTCACAGAATACCGGCGTGAGACAACCACAGCGTTGTGTTTCGCCGTGTGAGTGAAGTTACCGGAGGCCCAATCCCGCCCCTTCCCCTATCCCTTCCCGATCCTTATATCCGCAACCCCATCCCCAAAAGGCTGGCAAAGCACTTGTAACTCCTGCGGTGTTACGGATGTCCATGGGCGGCGCCGATTGCTTACCATCAGGTTATCCTTTTCTCCATCGTTTGCCGACTTATACAATAAAAAAAAGTACACTGCTGATGAAAACTCCCGAACCATTGACCAAACTACAGACAGTCAATTTATTTTTAGTTTTGACGTCAATTACCCTTTCAACTACTTATAATCATAATCATTGTGTATCAAACATACTCTGCTGATCGAAATTCCACACTTGTTTTTTCATAATACTGCTGGAAACAAGCAGAAGTACGGATGGTAAGCAAACGCCGGCGCCTATGAACACGCCTTAAAAGTTGAAAGTGCGTTGACGGCTTTTTTGGGGATTTAGGGAATAGTTTTGGACGGAAAGGGGAAGGATTTTGCCTCCAGTAACCCCAATCACACGACGAAACGCAACACTAGTTGCTTCACGTTTTTTGTCTGTGAGGCCGTGGTCAAATCGATCTGGCTCATTCGTAGAAACAATAGAAATAATTTTTCCAACAATACTCTATATTTTTTCTCATATTCCTTAGTTTCGTGAGAAAAGGTTTATTTGAAAACGGCTCATGAGTCTTTGGATTCTGTGACTGACAGTTATGTGTAGGTAACATTATACCTATGTCCCGACGTACATAGAGACACATTAAAGGATATATTTATTTGAAATTATTTCCAGGAAAATAATGTAACGTTACTCCTGTGAAGGACACAAAGATCCTTTTTGTATTTGTTTTATATTGTTTATAAAGGGAATAAAGGATGATATTGTTAGATTTTTACTTTTTTGCCTATAGTAATGGCTTACAGGTACTTTCTTTGGTCTTATTATTCTGGGATTCGGGATGTCTAGAATTATATTTGGTTATTTGTTATAAGTATTTCATTTACGAGATAGAATAATGAAATAATTATATCTTTATATATATTATTCTGCTGTACGTGTGTATGTCTCTGAAGTGCTTCTCAACGGCTTGACCGATTTAAATGAACTTTTCTATATGCGTTTAGTGGCGCCCTGGATGGTTTAGATTCACAAGTCAGCCCAACAGATGGCGCTGATTAAAAAAGCATGTGATCTCAGAAACGGCTGTAACGATTTCGCTGAAATTTCATATGACATGTGTGGGTTTTGGGGTGTTTCGGGGTGGGTTCGCTAATTTATTGGAAAATGTAATAGTCAAACTCAAAACTTATGTATTTGGCTGTTGATAATAAGCTTTTTTTAGTTAACAAGTTGACTTACTCTGTCTTTTAAAAAGTTGGTGTATTGATTGTGACTTTCAACTGTTAATACTCAATACGCAATATGTAAATAACTTTCTACAATATTTCTTAGGTGGTAAGAAGATTAGAGTTACAATCGGGTACAGCTCAGACAATAAAAAGGGATTAAAATAAATTGACTGTTTGTTGCTAGCTATTATTAAAATAAAATACTTTTAAACAATATGTCTTATTTTACCTATCAGAATTTTAATGGTTCGATAAAAGTTACCTATGGAATAATGATAATGCTGTCGCGTCAGAATGTTTGTATAAGACAGTGACAGCAACAACTTTTGTACCTCAGATAACATTTATCTGACTATTGAAAATTCAGCCCTTAGTTATAACAATTATCCTTTAAGTATTCATTTAAGCTGTTATAACATTTTTATACACATTAAAAACTAGTTTTTGCTTTTGTGTATGTATC